CTCCTACATGTACATGACCGTATAATAATTATATCACTCACTGACTGACGATATACTGTCACATTGTATAGTGCATACTAGTGCGTAAGTACATTACGTGCAGTGCTGACAACTGAAATCCGATCCCCTTGGCCGCGAGCCGCGAAGTTGACGCGATTAGTGAACGCAAAGCCACATCTGGGGTCTGGAGCGTCACCAATGTACATCATCATCTCTGACCATGTACAGCTTCCCGTACTAGCATAACCTGTAGCGTCATGCGATCAGATTCCCCAAGGACGCTTCCCTATTCCACCTTACACACAGCACCCAAGAAGTACTTGAATGCCATGGAAGGCAAAGACTATGTCCAAGCATGTTAAAGTAGAATGAAGTTGAAGACACCACTGCAGCTGTACTTATGGTTGATAAATATGGTGGTAAAGACACACCTGGCAATATGGGGGTAAGCGAACTGATGGTGGTGGTGGCGAGAAGGAGAGCTCTGTGCCAGAACTTTGCAGCCTAGAGAGCGTGTGTGGGCAGGCGTGTGTTTACCGCCATATTGCCAGGTGTGTCTTTACCACCATATTTATCAACCATGTTAAAGTAGAAAGGAAAAGGACATATGGAAACGAGTTAAGAGTAACTCTCCACCACTGTAACTAGATACTATATACAGTCAGAAAGTGCAACAACTAGGCACAAAACTGACAGAGTACGTCGGTTAGCGCTACGGAGATGTGTTGAAGCTAGGTGTCAGGACGTCGAATGTCTCAGTACTCTGTCAGTTTTGTGCCTAGTTGTTGCACTTTCTGACTGTATATAGTATCTAGTTACAGTGGTGGAGAGTTACTCTTAACTCGTTTCCATATGTCCTTTTCCTTTCTACTTTTATTATTGGCTCAATACCCGAGTTTCATGTTAAAGTACATAATAATAAATAAAACACAAGAGAGAGTTTGGAAGCTTTGTCACAACTCCGAGTTTCACGTATCTCTACGATCATCAGGCAACTGATGGATCTAAAACGGGCAGCCAGAACATAAGGGGGAGCAAGGTGGGAAATTCCGAGGGGTGTCATAGGCGACGCGTATCATAGCGCAAGAGTCAGGTGCAGGCGTGAAGTTGCCAAGTCTTCAGACTTGGGGCTATGCAGCAGTAGTTCCGGCATGAATGATATAGAATAGAGCTGGGGGCAAATGCCAAATCCACACATGCCCACACCACAACACAAACATACACCCACACTCTCTCCCTTTTCTCACATACACATACACTCACACGCGCGTCCGCACACACATTCTCTAAATCTCTCTCTCTCTCACTCACACACACACACACACACACACACACACACACACATACACATTCATTCTCTATATCTCACACATGCACACTCACACACACATTCATTCTCTATATCACACACACACACACGCATTCTCCAAATCTCACACACACATTCTCTAAATCTTACATACACACACACACATTCTCCAAATCTCACACAAACATTCTGTCTCTCTCTCTCTCTCTCTCTCACACACACACACACACACACACACACACACACACACACGGCCACAATACTCATCATTTCATTCTCACACCTACCGCACACATACTTGCACCCGCACTTATCCAATCACCTACACGCACTCTCTTTCTCACGAATGCACACAAACACACACACACACACACATGCGCGCTCACACTCACACACACACACACACACACTTGGCAGCGGGACTACCAGCTAGATTCACTTGACCTTGCGCGCAAAGTTACAGAGGTAGAACTTGTTTTCATGACGGCACTTGGACACAAGCTCTGACGTCTTGTTGAGGGAACGGGTCTTGTTGGCCCAGGCAATCTCCAGTTTCTCGGCCAGACACAGGTTGCAGCGCTTCGAGATGTTAGAGTATGGTGCGGCTCTCCTCACAACGGACCACCTGATACTGTAAGGTTTGTTTTCATCCTTCAGTCTCCAGATGTGTCTGGACAGTCTCGTTGAGGTCTCGTGCTTCTTGTGGCGAATAGTATGTTGATGACCATTGAATCGTGTCTTGAATGTCCCTTCCGTTAATCCAGTGTACTCCTTCATGTCGCTGCCGGTTACATGTGCCCTGTACACAATGCTCGATGCTAGACAGTTTCCTTCCAAGGGGCAATCATTTTTGACACAGCAGTTGCAGGTTCTCACGTCCTTGGTCTTATTCTGGTGGTCGCTGCGGAGGATACTATTGTTGTGTTGCTTGATGATGGTGGCGACATTTGGCATGCAACTGTAACTGAACTTTAGCGTGTTCCGGTTAAATATCTTGTATAATTTGCAACCCTTGTGGAAGTGCTTGCTGACGAGTTGCAGGAATCGCTGACCAATGTTCGTGGACACATTCTTACTGAACGGTGGGTTAAACCATGTGATATTCCGGTGTCTCTTCCTTTGTCTCTTCCTTTTCCCACTCTTCCGTTCCTCCAAGAACTGGACGGTCTCATTGTACCCGCTGTCTCTGAGCGCATTGTTGTACATTTGAGATGCGTCCTGGAATGTCTCCTCATCCGTTGATATGTCCGTTAGTCGTCGGCTGATGGAAGAGGGCAAGTTCTGGATGATGATTGGTGGGTGGTTGGATTTGTGATGGACATACAGTGGCCGGTCGTTGGGTTTCCGATATGGACGGTATTTGCCAGTGCGTAGGTCCAGCGTGATGTCTAGGAAGTCGACTGATTTCAGGTTTGCCTGGATGGTAATTTTTAGTCCTAGGCTGTTGAAAACTTTGGTCATGTCCTTTCTGATCTTGTCCACTTCCGGTCCCGATACGTTCCGGACCACTGCCAGCCCATCGTCGCGGTAGAGTCCAATGTCACTGCCGTTGTACACCTCGGATAGTTTGTAATAATAAATAAAATAAATAATATAAGATGATTTAGAGGAGTCATGAATACTAGTATAGCCTATTTTTGGGGTGGTGAAGACATTCTGAACAATCTGTAGGATATTATCACTTGGTAGAAATTTGGAGGAATCTACGCCGCATTGCAGTGAAGTGGATAGGAAATAGTTAGAGACAATTTTTAAAAGTAATGAACTGAATACACGAACTTAGAACTCGTGGGAACAACCATCTTCAGAACTGAATACAGTACTGGTGAAGAGGTTGTCACGCGGAAAGATTCATGCGCTGTTCTGGCAAACTGAGGGTGCAATATGCGGGATTTGACACGGAATGGCGTAGTTATTAGCATTGAAAGTCGTTGAATATTTCAAATGATCAAATCCAAGTGTGCTCACAAATTTATTGTGGTCCAAAGAAATTGTGAATCTGTCCAGGTAGCCCATACTAGCTACTTTTTTATTTTTTTTTATTTTTTATTGGGAACACAGCCCTACGAAGAGGCATGTGGACTACTTTCAATTTTACGTCAGATTCGAATGTTGCACCAAACGTTGTCCTGCAGACAGGTGCGATAACCCCATATGTTTCATTTGGGCTACATGGCGAACTCTGTTTATTACTATTAAACCTGGGCGTTAGAAAATTAATATCGATCTCACTGTAAAATTTGAAACAACTCCCTGCTGCGTAATTATCCACACAACGGCCAGGGAATAGTGAAAATTCAAGTCGTTTTCTGAAGGCGGTTACCATCCACCAACACACTTAGAACAGTAGTTTTCAACGGAGAATTCATTCAGTTACCTACCCATCATTATTGGCAATGCAATTTGCAATCTTTGCCCAACCTAATTATTCTAGCCAACCCCATGCACATGGTGGGTATACTCGAAGAGTCAGACACAGGACTATGATGTGTTCATTTTTCAGTTATTAAGAGAGGATACCGTCTCTGCTTGGATAACAGCTACACCATAGCTCAGTGGTTAGAGCACCGCTGGCTTCAAGTGAAGGTCCCTTTTTCAGTCCTGGTGGTGACAGTAAATGTTTTCTTCAGACTTTTCCCGTTTGCATCTTTCCCCCAAGCCAGTAGGTTATTGAGTTTCACATTTGTATGTTGCAACGGAGTTCTCCGCCATTCTCAACGTTAAATTTGGGAATTGTACATTGCACTGTTGAGGCTATGAAGAAAAAGAAATCCAGCATTAACAGCAAACAACCTCACGTTATCTATCCTCTTTCTTCGCTTTTATCACTACGTTGCGTTATTGTTCGTTTGTTTGCTTGAATTATTTCGAAGTATTTATTCTCACGATGGCACCATCGCCAATCAGAGATTGCAATCAATTCATTGACAGAATATGCCACTGCTGCCAGCACACAATGACACTGTCAATACCAATGAGCATACTTCGAAATACATGTACGAACATCTTGAAAGTGTTCAGCTCGACAAAGTATACTTTCAAGGCTTCTCGTCAGGTGAAATACAGGCAAAGGGAAAGGAACAAGAACAGTGGATTAAGTACAGTAGCGACGTGATGAAACAGCGCAAAGAAGAAGATAGCTAAAATCAAGAGTAGATTACGTATCTAATATTGACTGATTACGAAGTCAATAAAGGAAATAAAACACCGAGAACAAGACCGAGGCGAAGCCGAGGCTTTTAACGAGGCTTTTATTTCCTATACTGACCAAATACGAAGTCAATATTACATTTATCACGACAAACAGTCGGTATTTCAAATTGCAGAACGATTGCCTCATGAATCCCAGTTTCATGATTGCACAACCCTTGCACCATCACCTACTCATACAGCGACAATGCTGCACTAGGCACTGTTCAACTGCGCAACCCATAAGCAGTCAAATATAAGCAGTCAATATAGCGCTAATGGGTGAAATAACTAAATATTGCGACAGAGCTTCTTGCTCCACATATACTGGCACACACAGAGACGTAGACAGCAATAGCGACAACACACAAAGTGAAGGGTAGTTGGCCTCAGCCAGATTTGAACCGGATAACGAGTGAGGTATGGAAGCAAGGACTGAGAACGGAGTGTCTAAAATAGAATAGGCGTGCAAGTGGATAGAAGAAATAGGCCATAATGCAGAACCACTTGGGACCGTCAGATTAATTTCCCTGGACCGAGCCAGCCGGGAAAAAACCCTCGCGCCGACGGACGCAGTTGTGAGGGAAAAAACCGGGTGTATATCCCCAATGGCGATTAGGCATCCTGTAGGCATGGCAATCACATCACGGCACAAAGTGATAAAAAAGCAATGATATTAAATATGGCAATAAATAAGATAACTTGTGCATTCATAACAACAGCAAAAAATGAAGAAAGTTAAGTTCCATAACGTTTTCTTGTGACTGTCATCAGTGGAACGCCGTCACATAAAATGTAATAACTAAAACACACACTTATATACATGAAGCTTATATGGTTTCAGGTAAAAATACAGCAGCCAGCAAGTACAAAAAGCGAAGTTTGCATCTTTGCAATGTGTGAATATAGTGTATGTGAGAAAGGTAGTGGCAGATGAATGGATACTGTGTGAATGAATGTAATGGTGCGTGTGTATTACTTGAAGAGTGTGAGTGATACAACGCTTTCTTTCTGTTTACATAGCACAGGGTCACGAGTACGAATATACACAGCTTCGAATAACACCATTAAGAATAAATACTTCAAAAACGATAAAAACAACAACGACAACAAAACCAACAACAACGACAACAAAACCAACAACAAAACCAACGTCGACGACGACGACGACGACAACAACCACATCAGCAACAGATTAAGAAGTGGCCACGCTAAAATGGCAAACTTTCCACCAATCGCACCCTGGAAGCCTGTTGCACACAGCAAATATTTCTAAGTCAATGAATTTAGCAAACACATGCGGCGGAGATTTTCCGAGGTAAGGCGGTAAAGAGCACAGTTTGAACAGCAACTGGAGCTGTTAAGTAACGAAACCGTGTGTCGGCTAACCTAATTTGGCTCCACTGAATGCAATCCTAATCTGTTAAGTCAAAGTCTCTGAATTTAGACTGGTCGATCCGGGCCACAATCTCTTCGTCAATGGGCTCGAGAACGGCGACCTCGTCCGTAAATTCCGTGTCAAAGTTTGATGTGTCCGTCTTCGAGTCAAACGGTGGGATAAAGGGCGGATTGATGTCGCCCCTTTCTAGCGCCTCCCACCGTATTGACTCGAAAAACGGATGCGTTTGTACCTGCGACCCAGCCGTGCATCCCAGACGCTGCTTAACAGGTTTGTGCATCAAACTCAGCAACACGCTTTCGCAATGTTTACTGCAGTTGGTGTCTGGGAATATCACCGGCTGGGCTTTAATGTTTCGGAATATCACCTTTTTTGTTGCGCCTCTAAAGGGCACACAGCCAAACATCATCTCAAACATCAGAACGCCAAGAGCCCACCAGTCAACAGACGCGTTGTAAGCTGTCCTTCTGACCATTTCCGGGGCCATATAATCAGTCGTGCCGACGAATGTTGATGTTGTGGCTCCTTGGGTTACTTTGCTCGCACCGAAGTCTGTTATTTTGATATGTCCATCACTGCTCAGCATGACGTTTTCAAGTTTCAGATCGCGGTAAATGATTCCTGAACGGTGCAGATGAAGTAGGGCGCACGCTATCTGAGCGGAGTAGAAGCGAGTTGTGGACTCACCAAAACGGCGACTTCTTTCTTTTTCCAAGTGAAACCATAGATCTCCGCCGCCGATATACTCCATAACGAAGAAAAGCCTGCTGGCAGTTTGAAAACACTCAAACATTTTCGCACAAAACATATGGCGACCCGCAATAGCCAGAACTTTCTTCTCACTGATGGTTCTCCTTACATTGTTCTTCTGGATAGCCGTATGCTTCTGTAGCACCTTGATAGCGTACACTTGGTCCTTGTCCTTCTTCTTCTCAGCGAGATATACAGTGCCGTAACTGCCCTTACCGAGAGTCTTCAGCAGATTGAATGCTTCGATGCCGTTCCCGTGTGATTCGTCGCCATCACTTGCCTTTTGTGTATCTCGCTCCATCGGAGACCGGACCGCTGCATCTGTGACTTCACTTAGCGCTGGGAACGTAACAAGATTTTTTACTGAACTCATTGCGCCTTTTGATACTACTGCAGGAGTGGCAGACGGCGTTTCTCTTGCAGGGTAAACAATCTTCTAGGAAGCTGTGCCTCTCCTCTGATACTGTTCACTATATCAATACTGACAAAACGGTAGAACAATCAGTACGAAATTTATCCTAAGGCTAGCGTCCAGCGACACTCACTGGTTTCAACAAGGGTGAATCTTGTCTCAGGCATTAGTTGAAACTGGTCTCAAATCTATGTCGCAGGCTTTTATAAACCCTACTGTACACGTAGGCTAGTACTACTAGCCCAGCTGAGGGGTTATAACAGCTTGCCTGCGAATCACAAGGTCGCGAGTTCGAGACCCGCGCTCGCAGCAGGGAGCGTGAACTGTGCTAACACATGCGGTGATGCATGCGTGAACCAGATACAAGGAACTGCGGGTACAATCACGTCAGAGTCAGCTGGGTACTCACCACTACTTGTAGTACAATCGTCATGTACTCGGAGTGAGGCTTACTCGGATCGGAGTGAGGGTTACGTGAGTGAGGGTTACTCGGATCGGAGGGAGGGTTACGTGAGTGAGGCTTACTCGGAGTGAGGCTCACTCGGATCGGAGTGAGGGTTACGCGAGTGAGGGTTACTCGGATCGGAGGGAGGGTTACTAGAGTGAGGGTTACTCGGAGTGAGGCTTACTCGGATCGGAGTGAGGGTTACGCGAGTGAGGGTTACTCGGATCGGAGGGAGGGTTACGTGAGTGAGGGTTACTCGGAGTGAGGGTAACTCGGAGTGAGGGTTACGTGAGTGAGTGTTTCGCTGGCGCTCAGCTGGCTTTTGTGCTCCCTGTCGAGCGGTCACACCAGACATCGAGTACAAAGCCTGAACGGCTTGTTTTTTTGCCCACCAAATTTTGAATATCTCCAAACACACCGTTTGCAAGATATCGGAAAGCAGAACAATGGCGATCTACAACTTGTGTTCAGTTTTGATGAAGAAGAAAAATCAACAACAACAACAACAACAACAACAACAACAACAACAACAACAACAACAACAACAACAACAACAACAACAACAACAACAACAACAACAACAACAACAACAACAACAACAACAACAACAACAACAACAACAACAACAACAACAACAACAACAACAACAACAACAACAACAACAACAACAACAACAACAACAACAACAACAACAACAACAACAACAACAACAACAAGAACAACAACAAGCAAAGGAAGCCCGGATCCTGAATTGCGACTTCGTGCTCTTTTTATTTCTTCTGTGTGCATGGACGCGATGATTCGGGTGATGGTGTCTCCTGATGTTGAGATTTCTGCTCCGCCGGTTGCTGTTCTTCAACTCTCTCGCAATCCACTCTCTTCTTCGTACCTTTCTTAATGAATTGAGTCGTGAGTTTGGTGCCTTGTCTTGGCCTTGAACCACAGCTCCAACAATCTACGCTCTTGAGGCACCTCCACTCCAGGAATCCATGGTTATCGGAGAAAATCAAAATCAAACTGAGCTCTACAGACTGTGAAATTTAAATTTTTCACCGGACTTCCCCTTTAATTGACATCCCATTGTTGGTGCATTATAACCCTGCCGGTGACGTTTTAATCAGGAGTTCGAGACCCGCGCTGGCAGCAGGGAGCGTGAACTGTGCTAACAAATGCGGTTATGCATGCGTGAACCACACGTGGACGAAAGAGAAAAGGAACATTGTCGTAACAATCACTCAGCATGCACCCAGAGGCAAAGGGACAAAAGTAAACAATGGGATGACGACTTACTTATTTGCTTCTCAAAGCTCCAAACTGCGAACGTGCACCCCTGTCCACGGATGTCATTCGAGTGCAGTGACCGACCTGCGCCCCTCTCCCCCCCCCCCCCCCCCACACACACACACACGAAAATCCTGGCACCCATGTTGCCTTGTAGGAAGAGTACAGAAATAGTACGGACCCGCTGGGGTGGGCGTTTGCTGGGAAGTGGGCGTTTTCAGGGGACTTCACGGGACTAGAACATTGACCATTAAGGCTCCGTGAGGGAGTGGGAATACAATCATGGACTTCAAGCTGGGGTGGAAAAGTTTACCAGCTTCGTTTAGCCAATAAAATCGAAATAACCGCTCGATCTATTTCTTATCGAGTAAGTAACGAGTAATCGATATAATTGTTTCAGCAATAATTTTAACACTCCCTGCTACTACCCACTAGTATTCATTTTTGATTTCCTCGAAACGTGCGCTCTCACCGCTATAGCCCTATTACTCTTCTTAGATTTTTGGTTGGAGGAAAGCAAATCAGCACACGAAGCACAGAAGCCATAATTTTAATTTGTTCGACTAGGCCTTTCATTCCATTACTCTTCAGGTCGAATACACTAGCGCTATTTTTCATGTTGTATATGCATACATGTTGTATGCATATTCTATTTTATTTTATAATTTGGATGAAGTTTTCCATTAGTCATATTTGTGTTGTTGCTAACGGCTTTTGTTGACGTCACTTCTGTCATTTCATTATATCGTATTACTCTTCAGACATCAATCCTGAATGGCATAAGCGAAAGTGGCACCCCCGCCACCTACGCGGACATGCTTTTAATAATAATAATAATATATTTTTCAAGTGCTATGTTTGTCAATAAACCCTATAAACCCTAGCGGCAGATGCAGCGCCTAACGGTGGGGGTGAGTGGATAAGTCTCACAACCACTGGCACAAGTGCCGAAAACGACCCCATTAGCTGCATCCATGTACCCCTTGTGCCTGGCCACAAGTTCCCAGTTGACTGTGGGTAGCAGCACGGCTGGAAAAACCGCTCCCAGGCAGGACTTGAACCAGGTACCTCTCGTATCTCAATCATGGTCTTTGACCAACCCACTGTGCCTGCCTGGGTAGGGTTTATCGGGTGTTAGCGGCGTCGTGAGTTCCCTTTGGGAACGGACAGGATAATTTACTTTTTTTTTAATGTTTGTCAATGCTCTGTAGGCCTTGACGGATTATGCTAATATTTTCGTGAAATTATGCTTTTCGCATTGCTGAAAAAATTGCAGAATTATGCTATTTTAATGCTAAAAATTATCATATTATTATGCCGCATTATGCTCACATATATGCTGCTAATGTATATGATGGTTCTGTGCAAAATAACTCTGGGTACTTGATTTTGCACGCTGACAGAAGGAAAATTGTCTCTAAAGACATACTTATGCGAAGTTGACGCGATTAGTGAACGCAAAGCCACATCTGGGGTCTGGAGCGTCACCAATGTACATCATCATCTCTGACCATGTACAGCTTCCCGTACTAGCATAACCTGTAGCGTCATGCGATCAGATTCCCCAAGGACGCTCCCCTATTCCACCTTACACACAGCCCCCAAGAAGTACTTGAATGCCATGGAAGGCAAAGACTATGTCCAAGCATGTTAAAGTAGAATGAAGTTGAAGACACCACTGCAGCTGTACTTATGGTTGATAAATATGGTGGTAAAGACACACCTGGCAATATGGCGGTAAGCGAACTGATGGTGGTGGTGGTGAGAAGGAGAGCTCTGTGCCAGAACTTTGCAGCCTAGAGAGCGTGTGTGGGCAGGCGTGTGTTTACCGCCATATTGCCAGGTGTGTCTTTACCACCATATTTATCAACCATGTTAAAGTAGAAAGGAAAAGGACATATGGAAACGAGTTAAAAGTAACTCTCCACCACTGTAACTAGATACTATATACAGTCAGAAAGTGCAACAACTAGGCACAAAACTGACAGAGTACGTCGGTTAGCGCTACGGAGATGTGTTGAAGCTAGGTGTCAGGACGTCGAATGTCTCAGTACTCTGTCAGTTTTGTGCCTAGTTGTTGCACTTTCTGACTGTATATAGTATCTAGACACACAGTGGTGGTGAGTTACTCTTAACTCGTTTCCATATGTCCTTTTCCTTTCTACTTTTATTATTGGCTCAATACCCGAGTTTCATGTTAAAGTACATAATAATAAATAAAATTAATATAATATGATGTAGAGGAGTCATGAATACTAGTATAGCCTATTTTTGGTGTGGTAAAGACATTCTGAACAATCTGTAGGATATTATCACTTGGTAGAAATTTGGAGGAATCTACGCCGCATTGCAGTGAAGTCGATAGGTAAAAGTCAGAGACAATTTAAAAAGTAATGAACTGAATACACGAACTTAGAGCTCGTGGGAACAACCATCTTCAGAACTGAATACAGTACTGGTGAAGAGGTTGTCATGCGGAAAGATTCATGCGCTGTTCTGGCAAACTGAGGGTGCAATATGCGGGATTTGACACGGAATGGCGTAGTTATTAGCATTGAAAGTCGTTGAATATTTCAAATGATCAAATCCAAGTGGGCTCACAAATTTATTGTGGTCCAAAGAAATTGTGAATCTGTCCAGGTAGCCCATACTAGCTACTTTTTATTATTTTTAATTTTTTATTGGGAACACAGCCCTACGAAGAGGCATGTGGACTACTATCAATTTTACGTCAGATTCGAATGTTGCACCAAACGTTGTCCTGCAGACAGGTGCGATAACCCCATATGTTTCATTTGGGCTACATGGCGAACTCTGTTTATTACTATTAAACCTGGGCGTTAGAAAATTACTATCGATCTCACTGTAAAATTTGAAACAACTCCCTGCTGCGTAATTATCCACACCATGGCCAGTGAATAGTGAAAACTCAAGTTGTTTTCTGAAGGCGGTTACCATCCACCAACACACTTAGAACAATAGTTTTCAACGGAGGATTCATTCAGTTACCTATCCATCATTATTGGCAATGCAATTTGCACTCTTTGCCCAACCTAATTATTATAGCCAACCCCATGCACATGGTGGGTATACTCGAGGAGTCAGACACAGGACTATGATGTGTTCATTGTTCAGTTATTGAGAGAGGATACCGTCTCTGCTTGGATAACAGCTACACCATAGCTCAGTGGTTAGAGCACCGCTGGCTTCAAGTGAAGGTCCCTTTTTCAGTCCTGGTGGTGACAGTAAATGTTTTCTTCAGACTTTTCCCGATTTCATCTTTCCACCAAGCCAGTAGGTTATTGAGTTTCACATT